CTTTCCCACTGTTTGCAAACAGATAGCTCGTTCTTAGTTCATAAATCATTTATACGACATTTATACGATTGTGCGCGTCGGTGCTTATTATTCGTATCATACGTTTTCAAACTGGTCATGCGATGCTCAACACTTGTGGGTTATTGATCAGTGCTCTACATTTCACATTGCGGGGAAGAATGCCACTTCGTAAGCAATCATGGGGGAATGTTAGTTGTTGATGTGGAGGCAAGTCGCAAACGAGATGATCCCAACGACAAGCAGCTAGTAGCGTTGAGCGCCGGTAGAGGTTGGAGATTAAACGAACTACCGGTAGCTCGGGTTGGGTGTTCACTTGTTGCGGTCTCGCTGCCCCCGGGGTACCAAGTGCTCGAATCCTACCCGCGTCGCAACAACATTTGGCAGCTTATGGCAATTACCCAAACACAGATGCGGTGCACAAAGAATAAGCAATCAGAAAGAGTCAAAGTTGATGACACCAAACACGTGTTCAAAGAATGGAGAAGCGATTGGCGCCACGCATACTTGGACTTGCCTTGCACCAGGTTGTGCGAATTCGCTCACTCCCACGCACTGATGATGTCCTAAGACTGGTGACGAAAGGTTTGTAAGTAAATTTCTCAGCTCGGTGAACACCGCACCAACTGGACACTCAACCCGAGCCATCCGTACTTCGTCTGTTCGACTATGCTGCTCACACGCTATACCACCAGCAGAGATTAGCCATATCTTGTTTACGACTGCAGAAATTCTGAAGCGGCCAATTACTACTGAAGAATAGCCCACTTGTTGCTGACAATATCTGCCAAAAAGCACTAGGAATGGCTACCATGAATTTAGCCGGACCACTTTCTCAGTTTCGCCAACGACGTCTTGACAAATGTGGGTTCGAACAATGTGGAAACACGGAAGTCATGCAGATCCGGCCAATCATTGCTCTTCCGGCGTTTTCCGAAGCCACGAAGGCCAGTATAGAGGACGTACTCATGGATTACCTGAAAATGCACAACGTTTTCGCGCCAAGACGCATGCATTGCGCCAGACCCGGTCTTGCAACCCGAAATGTTAATTGTCTCTTAACTTGAACCGAAACGCTTGGCAGCGGTATGGGATTTGACGCGGTTTATCTGGACTTCTCCAAGGAGTACTATTTCACAAGCTATGGATATGTGGAATCGGCCATCCGGTTCTCGGTTGGATAGCTAACTTCCCTCTTCACTGGCATCTAAATGTAGTTCTCAGTGCTATCTCTAACCCCGTCGGCGTCTGTTTTGGAGTGCCACGGGGTTCAGTACTTGATTTACACCGTTGCATGAGTTATATGACGATCGCATGAGAATGATCAACTTAAATTTTTTATTCTGCCTATCACATGAGATGGCTGAATATCCAAACAGTACAATGCCACCAAGCACTACAGGTTGATTTGTATAGAATATATGGGTGGACGACTCACTTTCATTCTAACTCGGCTAGACGTAAGGCACTGAGTATACGACGTCCAATCACGTACAAGTGCATTTTGCGGAGCACTTCTGCTGGCTATAAACTAGGAGTGCTGGCAAAAAACAATCATAATTGCTCACATCAATCCGAGAAAGCATCCAAAACCCGTTGTGGATGGGATTCGGGCGACTTAACTCTCCATATTCTCTCAGCTTTTCAAGGTTTACCTTAGGCCCCATCCGGAATACGGCATCCATCTCTGTCAGCCCTGGCGTAAGCACGACCGTGCCGCACTTGAAATGTCACAACGAAGGGCGACTGAAAATGTATAGGGTCTGTTTCATCGCCCTTATCAAATGAGGCTGAGAACGCTTGAGGTCTGCATCGGCATTTGCGTGGCAATTTGGCAATAGCCTATCAGATTGCGAGAAACCCCAACCAAATGAATCACAATGCCACATTAAGTGGTTGTCATAATGACCCTCCATGAATCAAAAACTGTCTGGGCCTTGATCAATATTTTGTATTATATAAGAAAGGAGGAACATGATGCACTTCGACATCTACAGAAAGACGAAAACATTGTAATCCTACCAGCGGACAAAGGGCGCAAGACAGTGATAGTGGACAAACCAGCGTATACTAACAAGGCCAAAGAACTGCTACCGGACACAATTACATATCGCCAGATCGATCAACCAGATCAACGCAATGCTGAAGAAACTACAAACAAAGAACGAGCTCACCGCCACGGAGAGATGGAGAATGAAAGCTGCTGATACAAATATTGCACAGTTCTATGGACTTCCAAAAGTACAAAAGGATGGAGTCCACTACGATCAATCGTTTTGCTCCCCGGAACCCCATCATATAAACTAGCGAAGGATTTGTGGAGGAGGTTGAAACATTTGATTGTTGGATCCGAGCATAGCATCAACAATGCTGAACAATTCCTCAACAAACTGCGGAGTGTCAGAATGGAAGACAACGAAATGATGCTTTAATTCGATGTCATCGCGCTCTTCACTTCAATCGGTCACGAATTCGCCAAAGAAACCATGATGGAACCACTTGAAAATCAAATAAGCCCAACGAAAACCTTCCGACCTGAGAGGTTTTGGGAACTCCTGAACTTCTGTATGACCACTTATTTCCGCTTTGGTGAACAAGTGTACCAGCATCTGAGAGGAATAACCATGGGATCCCCAATTTCGGGGCTCATTGCAGAAACAGTGATACAGAAATTGAAGCGCATCGCATTGCCATCTAACAGCCCAAAACTCTGGATACGATACGTGGACGACACATTTGTCATGGTGAAACGGAACAGCGTACAGGCCATGCACGATTTGCTCAACAGCACATTCGAGGATATCAAAGTTACGATTGAATTAGAGGAGAATACCAAGTTGCCATTTTGGATGTATTGGGCACTAGGAATAACGACGGATCTCTGCAAACGTGCGTAGAGCGGAAGAAAACGCATACGGGCCAGATATTAAACTACCACAGTAACCACCCGATGAATCACAAGAAGAGCTGCATTCAAATCCTATTCAAAAGAGCGGAAACGCACTGCAGCACGGCCGAATCGCGGAAACAGGAAGAAAAGCACCTATATCAAGTGTTTAGAAACAACGGTTATCCGCGAAATTTCAGCAGAAGAAGCCTAAAGGAAGTTCTCAGCAGCAGTCACCTGAACAAGCAAACAAACGAATAGTGCTCCCCACATCAAGAACATCGCCGAACTAACAGGAAGATTGCTCCAGTCACATGGGATCTCTGTGACTCACAAACCAAATGCCACCCTGAGGAAATTGATCTCAAGACCCAAAGGAAAAGTCAATCAAGCTGACCAATGAAATGTCATCAATCAGCTAAAATGCAGCGAGTGCGAAAAAGATACGCCGGACAAACTGGAAGAAAGCTTTGTACGCGAATCATCGAACACAAGGCGGCCGTCAGAAGACATGTTCCACACTCCTTGCTTTCTGCGCATGAAGCTCAAGGCCACCATTTCGATCTGGAGAATGTAAAGATCCTAGCACATGGAAGTACAAAACACGAGAGGGAGTTTTTGGAAGTCTGGTACTCTACAACGAATTCAATCAATCGACACATCGAACTGGACGCAGTATACGCAACACTACTGGCGAACGACCGCCAACTCAATCGATTGAATCCGCTGGAACGTGTGACTAAACAACCAGAACTGACGGCAGACTCGCTCGCAAGAGCAAGCAGACAAAGGAGGCGAGGTCAAAGGTCATCCGTCCATCAACCAAGCTGGACGCGGATCTAAGTCCCTACCAAAAGGATTGTTCGCCTCCACGGGCAACCACGGCGGTATAAAAACGCACGCACACCACGCTCAGCGCACTCTCACCGAGGCTCCTCTACGCTATTCTACGCTACTGCACGCCACTCAACTACGCACTAATGATGTCACATCGATTGGTGACGAAACGTTTGCAACCAACTTGCCAAGCCCAACGAACAGTTCAACTGCCATAAAAAACAAGCTCATTTTTGACCTCCCATCATTTACAGCCACTCACTTCATCCGGTCGATCCTCTAGTGGCAATTAATTGGGTTCTGTTCTATCCAGTCCATGTCAATTCTCCACTTTCTATCATCGATTTGGATCTATCGACGTGAGCAAGCAATAGGCTCGAAATGATTGCTACTCGCTCGAAAGCTACGACCACAGAGGTAATAAGCTAAAGCTGATTACACAGTAAGCTGATTGGAATTTCTTCGTGTATTCCAAACTTGGAACGCCTTCTCTACTAACGTTTTCTCTTCCCCCACCTTAATGGTATTCAATAAAAGTCTTTATAAAGCACTGATAGGTTTAAATTACGTGATATAACTTTATGGGACTGGGTATCAATGTAACACAAACAACTGATTGCGCAGTTTAGCTTCCTGCTAAGTCCGTCAACAGGTGTCTCATTTCGTTGACACTACTTTGGTTCCGAATTATCCACCGTTCCATCCCAAGGAAACCAATATTTCTTTCCCGCTCTCTAACTTATCACTTGATTTCACTTGGCTGATAGTTTTAAGTAAGGTTTTGGGAGCCCGTGTCTGAGCCATTTTCCCAACCGACAGCCGTACACGGTACTTCCCGTATGCATTACCTCCAAGTTGGTTAAGTCTGTTTTCCTTTAACCCTGCACCTCAGCAAGTCCCTTTATCTACCCACATTCAAAGTGACTGCATCGGACCGTGGACACCACCAAACCGCACTGTCATAGGAATCCTGCGCCTCAGCTACTCAGTGCAATGCTGTGTTGGTCCCCCTAAGGAAAGGGAATATGTTTCGATCGTTGCCCAGGCGTCGTCAAACTCGACGAGGCAACAGACTCAGTATCCTTGAGGTCTCTCTAACCCCGGGATTCTGTACGCAGCTAAAGGTAAAAATAACGATTCACCGTTTACATATGCCGTAAGCGCCTATCAAACTTTCGATGTGTGGGACATCGAAACAAAAAAAGCATATTCAGCTATCTCATAAAGAAGTACATTGTACGGAGTGTAACGGGCTTACCAAGGAAAAATGTCTGTCCGATATCCACTTTTGAAGGCTGACAAACCTACGTAATTCATTCCGATGCACAGTCCATTTTCGAATTGGTCCTAAAAGCGGAAAACAAGGAACAAGTTTAGCGCCAATCGGTTTTTAACTCCTTATGATTGGCGAAACATCCAGCACGCAGCGTTCTATAGTCTCTTGATAGAGGGTCTACGTTGTACCATTTACCCACGAGAAGCAGCGAAACCATGCACCATCGCTTTTAGCAAGCTGGGTAAGCGTTACTTCTGAACGAGATTATAAAAGTTCGATAAAAAGATAAATATATAAGATGGTAAACTTCTAATAGCCTTTTCAGTGCTGTGGGAAACGATAAGATCAGGAAAACAGTGTGTAAAGAACTGTTAGTTTCCAAGGACGCCATACGGGCATGCAGTGAATTACGACTGACAAATATGAAATAACTAATGAGTAGATGGATTTGAGTATGATGAGATTTGGTGCATCGCAATTAGATTCTAAGCCCCACAGATAAGCTACTAATCCGGAAAGGCACCAGACGATCGTTTCGTCCTATTGGGACTCGCCAGTGGTGCGCATTCCTCGGGTCCTCACCTGAGGATCGAACACTTGACGGCTAGTGGCTTGCACCACTATCCAGCAGCTTATGCCACTGGGCCATGGGAGACGATAACCGACCATCACGGAATGAAACCTAATTGCGATATAGCCCGCCATGTGGGTTACTGACCGTGCAGAGGACAGTGGTTGTCCGTCCGGGTCAGGAGTTCCCTTGTCAGTGCCGTGAATCCACACAGAATTTTGAAGACTGGTGGGGCTTAGTTTTTTGATTACTAATATGTAGTCGGTATGGAATTAACGGGCTCCATTATGCAAAAAACTCAAATAACGGTTTATTCATCGTTAAGAGTGTGAGCAACCAATCGAGTAGATAAATATTATGCGCATACATGACGAAATTGGAGGCTAGTGAAAAGATCTAGTTTTATCCAGTCGTAGAATCTTCACAATTCAAAGTGATTGACAAACTCGTTACTGGATTTTCCTGTCATGGTAAGTGTAAAGCCACAAAACAGTTGCACCTACTGAGGCACTAATTGTTCACCACATTGGACAGCATACTGTTCAGCCCTCGTGCTCTTATCCGCTACAGGTAAAAGGAACTAAGGCGGAGGCTCACCGGAGAAGCAACAAATGATTCGAAACCCGGTCACCCTTTAGCAGCAAGCATATTTGTCATGATTAGATTAATTCGTTGAAATACCATCCCAGAGTTTGTAAACGCTATTCATATCACATGAGAATACACACAAATACTAACTCCTTTAGTTGTTATATATATATATATATGTATAAAACTGAAGCCGTGGTACAGACATTGTGCCATCGGAATCATGGCGGAATAGCAAAACAGGATCGGAATAAGAAGAAAAGATTTGAAGAGTTGCTTCCAAATAACATAGCAGAAAGGTCCGCCATTCTTAGACCCATTCATCGGCAATGTTGAACATGGAAAGCTTTAAACGTCCATTTAGTGTTAATAAAACTGGTATGAAAGGCACCAATAGTCCAGTAGTTTTATGTCAGTACAGTACGAAAAGGTACGGGTGATGACATTCGCTAGTTGTGTGGGGCAATATGCTCAACCATTTGTCCAACTAAGGAACAGCAGCTGATTGAAACCACACTGAGTGCGAATGCATACGGAGATTTTTGAAAACGATAACCAGAGGAGTGAGCCGACCACTGTAGTTAACAAGAACATGATCAGCGGGATGACCTTCAGTGGTAACCTTGCTAGCTGCATTGTGGGTAAGAGACATCTGGTCTTAGACATGTAGAACCCAGAATTTAACAGTAGGCCCAGTGGAACAGTATCAGCCTGTGGACGCCAATGTACTTAGTTTGCATACATCCGTTTGTGAGCATGGAGTCAGCTGCCTAGGCAGAACCAATGGGGTACTGATTATTCATAATGGTGAAACAAGTGATAAGATAAGCTCAAGGTTGAAGTAAGCAGTACTCATGTCTAGCTCCGGGTTCTTAATCCCGTAGATCGATTTCCCCTTTGATCTGCATCTAGCATGGAACAAAGGTTAACGGATTGTGTAAAATTAGAGATTAAAAATCGGTGATAGTAAACTATTTACGACTCCAGACTTTCACTGAGATTTTGTGTTCAATCGCAACTATCCTTCAGCTTTTGGCTAACCTGAACTTAAGGATAATAATTGCACTTTTAATTTGTTGACTTTATGCTTAAGCGCACCAATTACCATCAGTATGTAGCGATGAGTTGTTGTGGACAATTTCATACGAAACTCCCGCAAATATTTTGTAAACCTGTTAAACTACCTAGTAAGTTACGAGCGTATCAATTCTAAAACCATTTGAAGCACGATGTCGATTCACTTGGTGGTATACAAACATGCCCCATGCTGAGGCTGATGTTGCATTCTTGATGCTTCTTCACCGCAGTTGGGCTAAACCAACTTACACTTAAACTAGGTCTCTTTAAGCTGCATAAATTTCATTCCATTTTATTTGGTTTGTTTTGCCTATCTGAATAATCTTCTATTAGCTGGCCACCTTGCTTACACTAATTGCGCTTATCTTCGGTAACTTTGTTGCGTTTGTAGCATTTTTGAGTAACTTGTGGACGTCTTTTCCTTATCGCGGATTCATTGCTAACCAACTTACTTCATATGCTAATTTAGCGAAGAGTTATGCCACCGTATCTGTATGCATTATTGGATTTATTGTATTTCATTTTGTCGTTTCAAGTGATTGGCTGTTGCTTGATATCCCCGGTGTGGCTGCGCTTGATGTGCATGTTGACAAGGTGCCTACCTGTCTATTACCCACTACCTCGTCCATACTGGCTCTAGGAGACAGTTGGTCGTTGCTGGAAGGGACGGCAGCACAGTCCTTGTGGTCGTGCTAGGCTCGAAGAGTGGTTCCATGCAGTCAGTGTGGAGCGGACTACGGTCCAACCACCGCCTTGTGTGAGCTTGATTGTCCAAATACAGCGTGCTTGTGTTTGCCTGTGAAGGAATGTGGGCCGGCTCCGTTGATGAAACGTGGCTCCCATCCACATGCCTCCCGGTCTTATTCCCTCGGGTTTACGCTGGATATGGGGTGTGTGGTTGGAGCTGTGGGTGGTGCAGCTCAAGCCACCCATGGCCCCTCTGTAGTGTAGGCGCAGGCGTTCTGTGACTTGCCACAGTGACAGGCAAATCGGAAACCGGATGCCGTCAACCATACAAAAAACATACCGGTCGTGTGTCCAACAGTGTCGCTAGCCACAGCAGAGTTAACACATGCAAGTGTGCGTAGTGATATTCATTATTCATTAATTATACACGTTAGCTGCAGTTGGAAAACACCCCAGCTATTGTGCCGCAGTACAAAAGAAAGGAGAAATGAACATGAAACAGAGGCATGCCGGCTGAGTCACCAGTAATTGGTGGACATCGTTCCGGAGCGCTAACAGCCGGCTATTGTGCCGCAAAAAGTAGTATTATATGATGCAAATGAATTGACGTGGTGGTTGCAGGGGAGGCTAAGGGGTAGGGGAGGGACAAAGAAACTCACAACACAAACGCCATTAAGGTCGGCTCCTAGCTATGTCAACAAATGTATTCAGTCAAACGTGTTCATCGCCCTTTGGTCCACAACCAGGGAGCCGAGACGCTCCAACCAAGGTCAACTTCGAAGTAAGGGTCTTCATTTCTCTTGACCAAGTCATGGCATGGCCACCCCTCCTCTTCTTCAATCCGCACCCCCGGTGAGCAAACAACGCACGTCGCGGGAGTCGGTGGGCTAACATGAGCAACATGTGGTCCAGCCATCGGAGCTCAGTGCTTGAAATAACTGTGCTGAGCGGTTCGCTTCTTCTTCCTGCGCCACAAACAAGGCTTCGAACACGCTCATTCCTCACATGGTGTTCCCACCAGCTATCAGCCAAACTGCGAAGGCAAAGGTAATCGAACGTAACTAGCCTCTTTATGTCGGAGGATCTCAACGGCCGGGTTTCACAACCGTACAATAGGGTCGGACGTAGGACTGCATTGTACACTCTACACTTCATGGAAAGAGTGATGTCGCGCTGGCGCCAAAGGTGGCGAAGGTTAACAAAATCGCCACATGCTTTGGCCTTACGGTTTGTGATCTCGTCATTAATTCCAACGGCGTTGATAAAGCCACTTAGGTAGTTAAACTTTCGAAGGACTTCTAGCTGCTTCCAACCTACGGTCAGCGCAGGAGGCAGTCCAGGCCAATCTTGGAGGGACGCTTTGCACTTCGAGGGTGCGAAGCAAAGCCCGAAGTGACGGACAGCTAGTGCTAATCTGTCCAGTGCCGCTTGGCACGTTTGTGAGCTGTCACAGATTAGAGCAATATCATCAGCATACTCCAAGTCAAGAAGTCGTTCTCCTGGGAGCACATCCACACATTCTAATTCGTGTCTTGTGAACGCGATTTCCATGACTTCATCAATAGCGAAGTTGAAGAGAAAAGGTGACAGCGGGCATCCTTGTCTCACATCGCTGGAGATATTAAAGGGCGACGACAGCTTGCCGTAAGCCCTCACTCTGCCTGAGTCACGCGCGTATAATGATCGGATAATATTTACATATTTCTCAGGTACACCTTTCATGAGTAGACAGTCCCAAAGTGCCCGTCTGTCCACCGAATCGAATGCATCTTTGATATCGAGGAACAAGACAACGGTGGGCCGCTAATATATGTGACGGTGCTCCAACAACTGACGCAAGGTGAAGATGTGGTCAATGCAGCCACGACCTTGACGAAATCCGGCTTGCTCCTCACGAATTTGGATTTCACGAGTGCCAGTCAGTCTTTGAAGGATGACAGATGCAAGCAATTTAGAGGCTACGGAGATCAGACTGATTCCTCTATGGCTGCCGCATTCCGATCGTGAGCCATCCTTGAAAATTGGGACTATGACGGAGCGGCTCAAGTCGGTTGGGGCAGTTTCCTGCTCCCACAGTTTCACTAGTAACTCGTATATATCATCCACAAGAGCAGGTCCCCCGAATTTGAAGAGGGCTAGATGAAGATC